AGCTCAATATAGATTTGTTCTCTCTTCTTCCTCAATTAGTGAATCTCCATTACTGATTCAACAAAGACAATGCACTTCTACCTACTAATTTTCTACCATATTTCAGAGAGATTCTCGTTTATAGGGAAGGGATTGTATTCCTTCTAAAAAACATTAACTAACAAAATGATTTAGTATAAGCTTGTTAGTTGTTTCTCTATCTCTATGCCTATTTCTTTCGTTAAGCACTTCTTCACCTATTATTCTTATTTTAGAGAGAGTTAACAGCAATAGATGTTGATAATTGATTATTCAACCACATATGTTCATACATTAAATTTTGTTTTAGCTAGCTACAAGTAAGTAATTCTTGGAATATGTGAGCTAATGTTAAATAGAATATAACTTTTTGATTTTGTCTGTAATAGTCATCTGATCTCCGTGCTAGCATGTTTTATGGGAAAGAACTATATCATAGCTTTAAATTACCTTTACCTCACCTCAAAGTCTTCGCATGAGAGGTAGATTCAAACATGTAACATGACATTTCCATCATATTATAGAGTAACTAGCGAATAACATTAGCATGCCCTCATCTCATTGTATATGATTTAGGTTGCCTTACATCCATGGAAGTCGTTTTCCCATCATACACTATAGATAATGATTTGAAATAGGAACTACACGTGAGAATTTTACAAGGCAATATTTACTTAACTTTAGGTCTCCTTTAAGTGCATTTACTTACCTAAGATTTGTCAAAAGGCATTAAAATATTTATCACAAGTCCTTTTACTTGCATAAGAAGTTCTATTACTACTGAATAAATCTGAGTTATTCCAAATGCTTGGAGTTCTATTGGTTGTATGTCAGGTTGCCACCATTTTAAAGGCATGATACACTATTCCTAGATTTTGGAATGTTGGGCTTGGGCTATTCGTTGAGGCTGAGCTCCTGGTGCTAGGGTTGTCTGAGAAGAAACATTTGTAGACTTGTATTACTCATGCCGGAGAGTAGTTAAATGAAGTAGAGAATGAATCTCAGAATACAACATAAAAAACAATGGCTCAAATAGAAGTACTGATAACACTTCTTTATGATTTTTTTTAAATAAATCAGCCATGTGACCTATTGCTATAGGTATACCAACAAAATTGTAGCATGTATTTGATATTTATCCTATGATTTTTATTCAGGATTCTTAGGGGCATTTTACTTTTGACCCTGAGTAACCTGTAACATCCTTCCTTAGAAAGAACTAGAATTTGAAAAAACTTAATCGAAAATAGAAAAATCTGAAATTTTGCAAGTTGAGCTTAAAATGTGAGTTTTGGGTTAACTTCAAATGGCCATAACTTTTAGTACATGATAAATTAGGTGGACCATAAGATATCAAATGAAAAGCCTCTGAATAATCTTTCAACCACCACCGAGTTTGCTAATTTTTTACCTCGGTTGAGGGAGATATGTTCATTTGAAAATATGTCTGTCAGTTAAGGAAAGTTACCCGAATTTAAGAAGGGTATTTTGGTCTTTTCCTTACCCAATCAGATTTAGGCGTTTAGGGGTCTAAACTGATTTGGTTTAGTTTTAAAAATCCAAATTTACGCTATGGTGTTTAGAGAAGTTCTAGAAAAGGAGAAGAGGAGAAAAAGTCAAGCGTTCATCAAGTTCTTGAGGATTTTGTTGCGGATTTCGCCAAGGGTTGATCCCTCAGAGGTATGTGAGTTCACATAGCATTGGGTTCGTTCACCCACGCGCCAATCATGATTAATTTAGCATAATTTTGTTCTAGAAAGTAAAAGATTTGAGTTGTTGATGAGTCTTGTTGAAGTTTCCTTCATAAATCTTGATTGTTGAGGTTTTGATGAGTTCTTGAGTTAATCGTATGAGTTTTAAGGTTGTTTTAGAGTAAATTATTGTACACTAATGATGGGTATTCGAATCTCAGTGATTGGGGAAGAAACCATTCGATTCTAAGTGAGTTCGGGTTAGAAAACGAGCAAGGAAATTCGTCAAGTTTTCTGGGAAAAGGGGTGGGGCGCTGCGCCACTCAGTGCGCCCCACATCAAGGTCTGTAGTTTGGGCTCGGGGGCGCCGTGCCACTTAGTGCGCCCCAACCCAGACTCTATAGCGCCCTGCGCCACTCAGTACGAGGGTCTCCAGGTCCTCTACCCTTTCCCACTTCTTTCCGTTTGAGTTTCCTTAAATCGTACCTATGTTTTCTAGTTGATTTTTATACTCTAAGGTACGTCTAAACATCATGAGATCATCCATAACAAAAGACCATAATCTTTGAATCCATTATTCAAATTCAAGACAGAGCTAAGAATCAAGGCTAGAGAGTTCTTCGAGTCTTTTCAAAAAGTCTTTTACAATTGTTTTTAACTTGTTTTAAGACTTAAGCATTGAGTTTGAGAAAGACAAGAGCCGAGTTCATTTCTTTAAAATGATATGTGGGAACTAAGTATTCCCAAGAGTAAATGTTTTCACATTTAAGATGAGAGGAAACATCGATTTCCGAAAGAGTTTTCATGAGCAGTTTAGTACCATCTCTTTTAAGAGAAAGACTTTTGAGTAATAATCTCAAACCATAGAAAGAGTTATGTTTTAAAACATATGAGCTAGTTACATTTTCGGAGTAGTATTGAGCACCAAAATGGGGACGAGTTCAGATAACTCAAAGTCTCCATAAACCATGTAGCCAATGTGGGTAGAAAGGGTCATACTTTTTAGATGATTCCTTAATGTTTTTTAGCCTGGACTAGTGGATCCACTTAGTAGTAGTTTCTATACCCCGACAAAGTATTGTTTCATCACATAGCTTGTAGACACGTAATTTTTTACCGAACTTAAGTTTTACACCATTTTAGAACTTAAATATTTTATAAAAATCTAACTAAATATTTTAACTTTTATCTTATTTTATTAACTTTATTTTAAAGAATTTGAAAACAACAAAAAATAGAATTACATTTTTAGGTAAAGTTTTATTTTCACTGGTTTAAAAAAGAAATGAAAACTTACAAAAAAATATGTATTCTTTTAATTTAGATTTTACTAAATAAGACGATGCTTCTTAATTATATTTTTAGGTTGGCTATTTAACTTTTTAGTTCAAACTAATTAATTTAATTTTTTATAAATATTTAATTTATAAAATAAAAATAGCGTGAACTGCCCATTACCCCCTAAACCTCTACCCAGTACCCACTTACTCCTCCACTACCCCACACACATATACTACATACTTAACCCACTTTCCCAGATACATAAAAAACCAAAAAACTTTACACGGAGAAAAAAAATCAACAACTACAAAACCAAAAAAGAAAAAAGAAAAACGCAGCAATGAGAAGGAGAAGAAAGATAAAAGAGAAAAAAAAAATTTACGCAGAAACACAACATTTAGAAAAAAGAATAAAGGTTGGAGTTCGAGATTTGTTTTTGCGATTTTAAGTTCGTGGTTCCTGAACCCTTCTCGTGAAATAATTTTCACAAGAGGTAACACTTAATTTTATTTTATTTTTGTATTAGTTTTATGTCATGATTGTGCAAGAATTAATTTCAATATATTGAAGTTGTTCAGATTTCGTATGTGTTTAACCCGTTAATATTATAAATGTTGTATACTGAAATATATCCTAACATGATATATGACATGTGAGTATTTTTTACATGCTTAAAAGTCCATTCCTCGCTCTTTTTTTTCTTAACTAATTATCAAAGTTTTTATATTCGTATCTTACTAAATTAATTCTTTGTTTGGTCATGTTAAGAAAAGTATTAAGTTATTTTTTATGATATAATATGTGTGTAGTCTTGATCTTTTCGGTGCTAACAAAAATAATAATAAGACAATTACAATCGGTATACTAACTATTGTATGCATTTCTAAGATGAAATACTATTATCATTTTTATTTTAAATAACGAGATATTGATGATATTATTTCGAAATAACTAAAGATGGATAAAAATTGATTGAACGATTGTAGTTCGGCACCACTTGATTCACGCTTAAAAAATTTGACAAACGAATTTTGGTAGGCAAATAAATATAGACATGTTTAAAAAATGATTTCACTTAAGAATGTGGTTACACATCTTTTTTGAGACGCTAAAAGAAATTCAAGAATGTGGTGATGCACCTTGGTCAAATTATTTTTAATAGTCGACTTTTGATAAGTTTAAACTAAGACTTATAATAGATAAAATTATAAAGCGTGATGCAAAGAAGACAGTTATGTCTCTAAATATCAAGACCAAGAATGCGGTTACGTATTTAGGTCGAGACCAAATAAAAGTTCAACAAATAAAAAATGCGAGCAAATCATGGCCTATAAAAATATATCCAAAAGATAGTTAAAATAAGTATAAGTCAATAAAAGTGACCGTGCTAGAACCACGGGACTCGAGGGATGCCTAATACCTTCCCCTCTGTAACATCTCGCAAATTGAAATAACTAGGAAGAAATTAAGAATTGGAAATAGTCAATTTTTGGAAAGAATAGAAATCTGGAAAATTTGTTAAGTATGTTAAGTTGAGTTTTTGGTCAACTTCAAACGATCATAACTCCTAGCTCAGTATGAGTTAGGTGTGTTTCCAGATATCGTAGGAAAGATCTTAGAATAATCTTTCCAACGCTGCTGAGTTTGCGTAATTTCGAGTAGGTATGAGTGAGATAGGCCCATTTGAAGTTGGGTTGTTCAAATAAGGAAAGTCTAAACCGGATTTTGGAAGGGTATTTTGGTCTTTATCATACCCAATTAAATTAATTCATTTTTGGTAATTACTTAGGGCTTTGAACTGAACTTGGTCAGTTTACGCTTTTGAAAAATTGAGTTAGGGTTTTAGAGAAGAGGAAAGAAGAGGAGAAAGGAGGAGAATAAGCAAGAATGGTCAATTCTCGAAGCTAAGATTGTGGATTTCGTCAAAGGGTGATCCCTACGAGGTATGTGAGGCTTTCATAACGTTGGGTTGTGTTGAAGTTCACCCAACTATCCCGTTACACTCCAGAGATGGTTGCGGATATGAGGAGTAGAATGAGTCTGTTTGTTGCTAGGTTGTCCCATCTATCAAGCAAAGAGGGCAGGGTAGCGATGCTAATTGGGGACATGGATATATCGAGGTTAATGGTATATGTGAAGCAGAGTTGAAATAGCTTAAAGAACGGTTGAAAGACCTCCATGATAAGGGCTTTATTCAACTAAGTGTCTCACCTTAGAGGACTCCAATCTTATTTGTGAGAAAGCAGGATGGTTCCCTTAGGATGTGTATAGATTACTATCATTTGAATAAGGTTACCATCAAGAACAAATATCCTCTCCCAAGAATTGATGATCTTTTCGATCAGCTTCAGGGTGCTACCTGTTTCTCTAAGATAGACCTCAGATCAGGCTACCATTAGTTGAGGGTAAGGGAATGTGATATTCCAATGACAGCATTCAGGACCCGTTATGGTCATTATGAGTTCCTAGTTATGTCCTTTGGTTTGACCAATGCGCCTGCAGCATTCATGGACCTTATTTAGACATGTTTGTTATCATCTTCATTGATAACATACTAATATATTCAAGGAATAAAGAAGATCATGCTAGTCATCTCAGAATAGCTCTCCAGACTTTAAAAGATAGAGAGTTGTATGTCAAGTTCTCCAAGTGTGAGTTTTGGCTTAAGTCTGTGCCATTCTTAGGCCACATTGTGTCTGGAGAAGGAATTAAGGTTGATACTAAGAAAATTGAGGCAGTGCAGAATTGGCCTAGACCTATGTCTCCAACTGACATTACGAGTTTCTTGGGTTTGGCTGGCTATTATAGAAGGTTCATAGAGTGGTTCTCGTTTATTTCATCCCTTTTGACCAAGTTAACTCAGAGGATAGTGAAGTTTCAATGATCTGAAGCTAGTGAGAAAAACTTTTAGGAATTGAAAAAGAGGTTGACTATTGCCCCAGTTTTGACCTTACCAGAAGGTACTCAAGGTTTTGTGGAGTATTGTGATGCATCTAGAATTGGTTTGGGTTTCGTATTAATGCAGAATGGCAAGGTTATAACTTATGCCTCCAGACAATTGAAAGTTCCTGAGAAAAATTACCCAACCCATGACTTAGAGTTGGCTGCTGTAGTATTTGCTTTAAATATATGGTGTCATTATTTGTATGGTGTTCATGTAGATGTATTCACTGATCACAAGGGCCTTATGTATGTGTTTACTTAGAAAGAGCTTAATTTCAAACAAAGGAGGTGGTTAAAATTACTCAAGGATTATGACATGAGTATTCTTTATCACCCATGTAAGGCTAATGTTGTTGTTGATGCTTTGAGCAGGTTGTCTGTGGGTAGTACCTCCCATGTTGAGGAAGAAAATAGAGAGTTAGCGAAAGATGTGCATAGACTTGCACGCCTCGGAGTTCGACTAATGGATTCCACAGAAGGAGGGATAGTAGTGATGAATGGGGTTGAATCATCATTAGTGTCAGAAGTAAAATAAAAGCAAGACCAAGATCCCATTTTACTTGAATTGAAGGCAAATGTTCTTAAGCAAAAAGTAATGGCTTTTGAACAAGGAGGAGATGGTGTGTTGAGGTATCAAGGTAGGATTGTGCCAACGGTGGATGAACTCCAAGAGAGGATCATGGAAGAAGCTCATAGCTCCAAATATTTCATCCATTCAGGTTCCACAATGATGTGTCGTGACTTGAGAGAAGTGTATTGGTGGAGTAGTATGAAAAGGACATTGCAGAGTTTGTTGCTAAGTGTCCGAATTGACAACAAGTTAAAGTAGATCACCAAAGGCCCGGTGGGTTGGCTCAAAGTATTGAACTTCCAGAATGGAAGTAGGAGATGATTAATATGGAATTCATTACAGGTTTACCAAGGTCTCACAGGAAGCATGATTCGATTTGGGTGATTGTTGACAGAATGAAAACATCAACCCACTTTTTGCCGGTAAAGACTACCCATACAAAAGAGGATTATGCCAGGTTATATATTCAGGAGGTGGTAAGACTTCATGGAGTCCCTGTTTCGATTATATCAGATAGAGGTGCAATATTTACTGCACAGTTTTGGAAGTCATTCAAAAAAGGCTTGGGTTCAAAGGTGAACTTAAGTACTGCCTTTCATCCTCAAACAAATGGGCAAGCAGAGCGCACTATTCAGACATTAGAAGATATGTTGATAGCTTGCGTGATTGATTTCAAAGGTAATTGGGATGATCACCTGCCTCTCATCAAGTTCGCTTACAATAATAGTTATCACTCTAGCATCCAAATGGCTTCTTATGAAGCTCTTTATGGAGAAGATGCAGATCTCCTATTGGATGGTTTGAAGTTGGTGAAGCTGGGTTGATAGGACCTGATTTAGTTCATCAAGATATGGAGAAGGTGAAAGTGATTCAAGAAAGGTTGAAAACAGCACAGAGTCGTTAGAAATCCTATACTGATGTGAGGATGGATGAGTTAGAGTTTGAAGTAGATGATTGGGTATATCTTAAAGTTTCACCCATGAAGGGTGTTATGAGGTTTGGTAAGAAGGGAAAGCTTATTCCTCGATACATTGGCCCTTACAGAATATCAAAAAGGGTTGGTAATGTAGCTTATGAGTTGGAGCTACCTCAAGAGTTAGCAGCGGTTCATCCGGTATTTCACATCTCCAAGTGCATGGGCGATCCTTCATTGATCATACCAACTAAAGATATTGGGATCAAGGATAGTTTATCTTATGAAGATATTCTGGTCCAGATTTTAGATCGTCAAGTTCGCAAGTTGAGTACTAAGAAAGTAGCATCAGTCAAAGTTTTTTGGAGGAGCTAGTTTTTTTAGGGAGCTACTTGGAAAGTTGAAGAAGATATGAAGAAGAGGTATCCACATCTCTTTGAAACCAGAGAAATTCCAAATCAAGATACTAATCCTTTTCTTGGTATTTATTTATAAGTTGGCATGTTGTTTTTGCATTTTGATTGTTGGGTGTTTGAACTAAATGTTAGATGTTACTAGTAAGAGTAATCTCATTCGAGGATGAATGTTTCCAAGGGGGAGATATTGTAACATCTCGCAAATTGAAATAACTAGGAAGAAGTTAAGAATTGGAAATAGTCAATTTTTGGAAAGAACAGAAATCTGGAAAATTTGTTAAATATGTTAAGTTGAGTTTTGGTCAACTTCAAATGACCATAAATCCTAGCTCAGGATGAGTTAGGTGTGTTTCTAGATATCGTAGGAAAGATCTTGTAATAATCTTTCCAACGCCACTGAGTTTGCGCAATTTCGAGTTCGTATGAGTGAGATATGCCCATTTGAAGTTGGGCTGTTCAAATAAGAAAAGTCTAAACCATATTTTGGAAGGGTATTTTGGTCTTTACCATACCCAATTAAATTAATTCGTTTCTGGTAATTACTTAGGGGTCTAAACTGAACTTGGTCAATTTACGATTTTGAAAAATTGAGTTAGGGTTTTAGAGAAGTGGAAAGAAGAGGAGAAAGGAGGAGAAGAAGCAAGAATGGTCAATTCTCGAAGCTAAGATTGTAGATTTCGTCAAGGGGTGATCCCTACGAGGTATGTGAGACTTTTATAATGTTGGGTTTGTTCACCCACGTGCCAAGCATGTTTATTTCAGCATGAATTCTTCCTAAAAGAGTTTGGAAGTTTGATGTTCTTGGTATGTATTCTTGAATTTGATGTCGTTCTTGAATTAGGATGAGAGGGAGAAGTGTATGAGATCATTATGTCGAATTATAGAGTTGTTTGGATTTAGGTTCTTAGGTACATTTGCTGGGTATCTGATCTAAAAAGAATTTGGGAAAAGAACCGAGTTTAGGCGAATTGGAGCTGGAAAACGAAGAAGGAAAATAGTCGGGTGAATCTGGGCATTGGCTCCGCATCGTGGACCTGCTCCTCAGATTTAGCAAAAGTTCTTCGCAGAACAGAGCGGTCACAAACCGTTCTACCTCAAAAAGTATTTTCGCGACCAAAAAATTTAATATATCTCTGCATCGCAGACTAGTATCCAGACAGTGATTTCTTGATCTTTTCTCATGTTTAACTATCTAAAAACACTCCTAAACATCATGAGATCGTTCCTATCCCAAATCACAATCCTTGAATCCATAATTCAATTCAAGAAAAGTTAAGAGTCAAGTCAAAGAAAGTCAAGAGTCAAGTTAAGAGAAGTTCATAGAGTTTTCAAAAGTCTTTCATAAACGTTTTAACTTTGTTTAAAGACTTGAGTTTTGAGTTGAGTAAAGAGTAAAGTTTGAAGTTCATTTCTTCAAAAGAGTATATCGGGACTATGTATTCCCAAAGAGAAATGTTTTCACATTTACAGAAGAAAGGAAACCTTGATTTTCAAAAGAGCCTTTGAGCTAGTTTTTAGTTAAAGAGTAAATATTTTCACATTTTAGCAAGAAGGGGAACATCAATTCCAAAAGAGTTTTTAAGCTAAGTTTTGAGTAATTATCTCAAACCAAAGAAAGAAGTTTTGTTTTAAAACATATAAATTAAGTATACTTTTGGGAGTAGTATTGAGCATCAATATGGGGATGCGAGTTCATATTAACTCAAGTCTCCATAAACCATGTAGTCATCATGGGTAATAAAGGATCATACTTTTTACATGACTCCTTAAGTGCTTTTTAGCATAGACTAGTGGATCCACTTAGTTAAGGCGTTCTATATGACGACAAAGTATAGGACAGTTCTGGCAGCGTGGGCAAGACGATGTATCACCACTTAGTCTCATAGTGGTGGTTGTTGGTTAGAGAAACTCCCACATAAACTATATTACTTTATTACATGAGTAAAGTTGAGTTTGCTATTACATTTCTTTAACGAACTGAGTTTCTTGCTACTGTTTTAAAAGTTTTCTATATATTACATGTGTTTTATTGTTTTATATTGAGTTAAGTTATTCATGAGTTGAGTAAAGCCAAGGTAAGTATTCCTTTCAAATTCTTTTCAAGCCTATGTATTATTAGAATTCCAACTCGCATACTCGTACATTCAATATACTGATGTCAGTTGGCCTGCATCGTCTTATGATGCAAATCAGCATTGAGTGTCTCGTTGATCAGGTTAAGCACTAACAGTCAGTTGGTGAGCCTCATTGCTTTTCGGAGGGCTCCTTTTTACATTGCTTTGTA